TTTTTTTTTCTGATAATTGTTAAACTAATAATATTGTAGTTTCTCAAACTGTTACGCATTAGGTAATATTATGCCAACTATGCATCCATTTTATTACTTTAGAACTTTAATCAATTAAATCAACTACAAAATAAACTCTTAAGTAGTTGATTTATTTTTATTTCCCAGAATTTGCTTGTTCATAACCCATTACTAATAATTTCAGTGACTCCAGATTTTACAGTTACTTGACTCACTTAGAGATATTTATATGCATGATCTCCAAAATCAATTTTTGTAATGTCTATATGCATATTGTTCATCCAAGCATAGAGATGGCCAGGTTTTGGCTTAGTGTTCTCTCTAGCTCTGGCACTTTCTCTCCTCTTACCTTCTATGATGTAGATGCACTCTCGGTCAGGGGGGTACTTGCTGGGATAGTTGGGAGAGGTAAAGACACCTCCCTCTGCATGTTTTGTCCAAGTTCCACACTGCACTGACTTCTGTGTTTCTGAGGTGGTTTGCTTTTCTGTAAAAAAAAAAAAAAATTAAAAAGAGCTATTATCAAATTTTCTCTAATACTAAAAATAGAGAGGACATTCTTATAATATCCATTAGTAAATTAATTTCTAAATGCTGTTTTAGTCAAAACCAATCAATTATACACACTATAAAGTGTTCAGATGTTCGGGAATATTAAGAGTATGGGAAAAATAGGAAGATACAAAATAATTAAAAGTCATCCACTAACATTTTTCCAAAGAAGAAACACACCTGTTCCTTTCTTGATTGCCCCAGACAGATGGAGGATGATTAAACTTGCTACAACTGAAACAGAAAAGAAAAATCAGAAAGAGATAATACGCACTGAAATGATCAGATCCCATAAAAACATAACAAAATTTAAAGATAAAATGATATCAGCAGATTAATTTTATCATTGTTAACTGTTACAAGTTGACTCAGAACTTGTAAAAACTGATTCAAAATGTACAAGTCAGGGAAACTTGGGAATCCCTTAAGGAACTAAAGCAAGTTAAGAATGAATGAGATCCAAACTCCTAAAGCAAATACATACTTCCAAACTAAGAGGCAACGTTATAATCTGCTAATGTCACACACATAACAGTGGGATTTCAGGACATGCACTGTTTCTGAACAACCTTTTGTGAATGGCTTTGCTAGCATCGTTAAAGGAAGGGAGAGAGGCCCCAGATAAAAGGAGGAAAAGCAAAAGTAGACAGTAAGAAAGAGCTCTGTGACTGTTCCTAACACTTTGCCAATGTGGCTGTACTTTCGAAAATAAATACTTGGGCAAATCCTATAGGGTGTGGGGGAGGGGAATAAGAGAAAAACAGATTAATGTGGAC